TTGGTGAGACAGATTATATGCCTTGGCAGTGGTCTTCTTGCGTATTACCTCATGTGAGTTCTCTAAATGTCTTCCATCTGCATGGCCATCTTCCTAGTGAGATAGGGACATTTTTCTTGGGTGACATCTTAGAAGACTTCTTCTAAAGTGTTCTTAGTTTCCCCTTCTCTCTCAGTGATGTTAAGCAACTTTAGATTTGGTCTCTTTAAATAATTCCAAACCTCTTATAGGCATCACTCATTCTTCCTAAGCCTGCTTGTTTTAGCAGATTGGGTTAGTTCAATAATTTGATCACCAAGTTCTAAGATTCTTTCCTCTGCCTGGTCAATTCTGCTGTTGAAACTTGCTATTGTATTTTGAAATTCCAGGAAAGAATGCTTCACTTCCAAGAGTTTATATTGGTCCTTTCTTATACTGGCCAGCTCAGCTTTCACATCCTGCACTGTTTTTGTGGCCTGGATGATCTGTGTGTCTACCTTCTCATGGATCTCATTGAGTGTCTTTGCAGTACACAGTCTGAATTCTGTGTTTGTCATCAGGGTCCAGTTGTTCTGAATGGGTTCCATTGCTTTGGACATGAGAAGCTTTTTTGTGGGTATCTACTCACTAAGGCTGTGGGGATTGCAGGTGTTTAATTGCTGGTTCTTCCTCACCTGTAAGGGCAGACTCCTTGTTTTTGTTTTGTTTTTTCAGGTATATGAGGTTGCTATTGTTGGTGTGACCATTTGTGGGTTGTTTTTGTTTTTGTTTTTGCCGGTTCTCTCTCCTCTGGCCACCTTTGTGTGGGGGAGGTGGGAGGGTAGCAGTGGCAGGAAGGGTAGTGACCTTGGGGGGAAACCATCTGAAACTGCTTCACTGGTAGGAAGGGTGTTCCCTCCCTCTGGGACAGGCAACAGGGGCCCTAACTGGAGCTCTAGCAGTGTCCTCCTACCCAGACCACTTGTCAGCAGGATTGATAAGCGGCCAGGTAGAGCCCTGTGGCTCTACTCTGGCTCAGGTGCTCTTGGGTATGTGGAGTGGCCACCTCCTATCTGGGCAGGGCCACCTCTTTTGCCCAGGGATAGAAGGGAAGGAGTGAAGTGTTATTTCTTTCTCTGTCTTCACGTGGGTGGAGCCACTGCCACTACGGTGCTGTGCAGAGGTGCCCCATCTCTTAGATCCATGAGAAGGGATATGGCTACCATAAATGGTCCCCCTTGGGCAAGCTGCATCTACAGCCCTGACCTAGGGTCACAGTGGTTGCCAGCAACACAGAAACTTTCCTGAATTGGTTGCTTCTCCCCTGCTGGGGAAGGAAATGTCCCATGCTGCACAGACCACCCCAACAGTGTTTCCTGCTGAGCCTCTCTGTGGAGGGTCAGCAGCCCTGGCATGGGGCACCTGGGAGCTGGGGTTCCTCAGGTTCCATGTGGCACCTGCTGGTTCCCCTGTCTCTATTTAGGGCAGCTCTCTGCAAGAGAGATGCATCCAATTCAGGTTGTCTTTTAACCAGTATGCTTCCATTGTGTTTTCAGTCCAACCTTCAAACTTTTATAAATTGTCAATCAACAAGTTGATACCAGTATATAATAATAGCGTTGAATGCAAAATAAAGGACACAAACACAGAGTAGTCACAATTTGCTAACCTCAAAGAAATTTTGAATGTTAGAATGTATATCAGAAAAAAACCAATATAAATATATACTTACTCAAGTAAAGTGAGAGGAAAATATGATGATTTTGTGTCATGGACTGGAGAAGAGTAAATCCAGAGGAACCGCCTAGAAGGGACAATTGTCTATGAAAATTGGAAAAACTAGAAAAAGATTGTTTTCTAAGAGCTGCGTGAATACAGGGTCTGAATTTTATTCCTCACTGTATTTTCTCTTATAAACTTCCTGGCACAGTTCTTTACATATAGTAAGTACATATAGGACACAAGTTAGTAATTTAGAGTATCTAGAGGGCAAGACAAAGAAACAGTTAATAATATGTTCAAGCTGGGCTCGGTAGCTCAGCCTGTAATCCCGCGCCTTGGGAGGCTGAGGTGAGTGAATTGCCTGAACCCGCGGATTCAAGACCTACCTGGGCAACTTGGTGAGACCTCATCTCTACAATAAATCAAAAAATTAGCTGGGTGTGGTAGTGCGTGCCTGTAATTCCAGCTACTTGGAAGGCTGAGGCAGAAGGATCACCGGAGCCCAGCAGGTCGAGGCTGTGGTGGCCGGGAGCGGCCACTGCACTCCAGCCTGGGCAACACAGTGAGACTCCAACTCAAAAAATAATAAGAAGAATATGTTCAATAAAGACTAAGTATCTAAACATTCAGAAGGTCAAGGGGAAAGAAGAGGTTGTGTCCTCAGAGTGAAAAAGCTCACATTCATTCATTTCACAGTCACTTGCTGAATATCTTTTATGTGCCAGGCAAATGTGCCAGGTACTGGGGAGACAAAAATGAATAAAATACATGAGACATTATCTGTACTCTTCAAGGACCAGTGTACCTAGTAGTAGAGACACATAAACTGATTAAAACAATGATGTAATCATGAGGTATTAAGGGATCCATGGCAGAATACAACTAACCCAGTCCAAGAAGGTCAGAAAAGGCTTCTTGGAACAACAACCACCTAAGTTGAGTCTTTGGATTGCACCCAGGGGCAATGGGAGTGAAAATGGAGAAGGGTGGTCTGGACTTAGGAGATAAAATGAGCAAAAATACCTAGACAATAAACAGCATGGTCTATGGTACTTGATAGGGATAAAGATAGGAAATCTCCAGAAAGTTTGGTATTGGCTGTAACATAAAGTACAAAACAGAGTGTGTCGAGAAATGAGGCTGAAGACGTAGTCAGTACCTTGTATACTATGTGTGATAAGTAAAACCTGTTAGTAGAATTCTCAGTGCAAATTTAGTCATCTCTCTCTTTCACATGCTCTAATAGTAATATACTTTGAGGCCTCGCCTCACCCCACCTTTCCAAAACTGGCCCCATATTTGGGGCTAATTTAGCTTTCAAAGTTAGATAGAGAATCAATCAACTGTTGCTATTTCTTGCTGCTATATGGGGTTGAGCTTCAGAACTGAGTCTCAACAGTGCAACAGAAGCTTGGCGACTGGATAGTATTGCCCTGGCTGGTCCAGGATCCCTGCCAGCCCTGCAGTGTCATTGGGCTCCAAAGTTACAGCTATTTTAGTCTACACCCAAACGTGCAGTTGTTGTTCTGCAAAGTACCATATATATCAGGATGGCTGGATCTAGAGGAGCCCCTTTAATCAGCTACAGGTATATATATGCTGAATCCTGCCTTTACCTACAAAGATGTGTATCCTTGAGTTAAGCCAGGACCACCATTTTTGCCTTCCTCTTTCTTCAAGGTAATTTTATTTTAGGGGTTTTGGTGCCTTTCCCAGGCAATAGGCTTTGGATGACACTCTCTCATCCTCATACATGTTCCTAATTCTAAACTTGGAAAAATGAGGTTGAGATTAACTGGTCTCTTAACTCCCAGAAGACTTCTGGGCTTCCTAAGCAAATTGACCCACCTCCTCCCCAGCAGTGAATTGCATATATCAGGAGGTAAGACAGCTTTTACTAAGTCACTCAAAAAGTTCTAAAGGTCTTTTTACACTTGTATGCCATTAAATATTTACTTACCCTACAATTACATAACTAACAGGGTCACTCATTTCACTTTGCTGGATAAAGATTAGCTTATATCCATTAAAAACTTAAAACCACACCTTGTTGCACATTTGAAAGAGCTTGTACTTTCTTTCATAGTCAGTGATTTGTTTTTGTTTTTGTTTTTTTTAATCAGAGATACACATACTGAGTTTGAAGAGCCTGGGGGGACATTCAGGAAGTTTTATAATAGGTAGACAGTTGGATGTAGGAGTGTGCTTTGGGAAGTGATCATCTACTTAGAAATGATAGCTGAAGCTATGACAGTGGGATGCGATTCACTGGGAAGAGTAAGAAGAGAAAAACCTCTGAGGAATATCTCTGGGGAATAAATCCTGGGCAGTACTAAATTTTAAAAGGTAGGCATGAAAAGGAAAACCCATGGAGAGAACTAGGAGAGAATGGTTCTCAACAGTATCAAATACAGCAGAAAGGTCCAATAGGATGAGCACTAAAAAGTGTCCATTGGTAGCCGGGTTTGGTGGCTCAGCCTGTAATCCCGCGCCTTTGGGAGGCTGAGGTGAGTGGATTGCCTGAGCCCGCGGGTTCGAGACCCGCCTGGGCAGCGAGACCTCATCTCTACAATAAATAAAAAAATCAGCCAGGTGTGGTAGCGCATGCCTGTAATTCCGGCTACTTGGAGGGCTGAGGCGGAAGGATCGCTGGAGCCTCAGTGATCCTAGGAGGGCTGCGGTGGCCGGGAGCGGCCACTGCACTCCAGTCTGGGCGACAGAGTGAGACTCCAACTCAAAAAAAAAAAATGTCCATTGGATTTAGCAATTTGGAAGTCATAGATGTACTTGTCAAGGGCTGTTTTAATGGTGTGGTAGGGCTGGAAACCATATTGTGATGACTTGAAGAGATGAAAGATAAGAAAGTAGAAGAAAAGAGCGGAGAATTACTTTTTCAAGAAATTTGTGAAGAGATTTGGGGTTGTAGATGGAAGGAGTTGTGGGATTGGAGGAAGTAGGGAGTTCTTTCTCTTTTTTTCTTGCTTTGAGACAGGCAAGTGTGTAGACTGAGAGAAACGAGCCCAGAAAGAGGAAGAGGTTTATAACTATAAGAGTAAGAACTAATAGACTAATGGAGCAGGACCTTGGACAAGTCAGGGAGGGACAGGAGTGAGAGTTCAAGAGGAAGTTAAGCATGTTATTTTTTGAGACTCAAGGAAAGGAGCGCAGGTTGACAGAGGAGGTAGATAACCAAGTGGATAAAGTAACTGAATGGTGCCATGGAGCAAGTGTGAATAGGATTCATATACTTGAGAATAAGAAAACTACTGCAGTCATCTCTTGGCTTGACTTAATGCAAGATTTTCCCCCCTTTTTTACAGTATTGACACTGATCATTTACGTGAAGATACATTTAGGAAGATGGAAGCTTTAAAAATTAGCAAGCCTGGAATCACTTGGTAGTTTCCAAGGAGAACCCCTAAATTGACTACATATAGACCTCCTCCATCTGGCACTGTCTTTAACAGTTGTGCAGTATTATTTTTCCAAACTGTTAACTTTTGCTAAGGATGCTAATGTGAAACAAGCAATGGTGATTTACTGTTGTTACATTGAACCATCTGCGAAGTAGAATGTAAAAGACGAAAGCATCATAGTTCAAATGTCTTCAGCAATAATATCTTACATTCATATATTATGTTAAAATGTCATTATGCTTTTACAAGAACCCTCAAAGGTGGGAAGATGAGGCTCAGAGGGGTTGTGACTAGCTGAGGTCACACAGCTCATTAGAGGGATAGTTAAGACTCATACTATCCCTGCGGAAACAATAGAAAAAACACACATGAATGAGTCCACTTAAAGAAACAGGATACTTGAAATGGTTGAAGGACAAAGGACAGGAGAGTATACAAACACATGTTATATCTTATGGTGCTGATTTTAAATAAACTTGTAATTCATGAAAGAAGACTGAGCTGGACTGTTAGGGAAAGACTTCGTGGAGCAGGTGAGACTTGATATGGGATTTGAAGAATGAGTAGGATTGAGATAGGTAAAGATATAGTGGCCGGTGGCTTTAAGACTGCAGGACAATAGGACTGTGTTTGTGAGCAGCTTGCCAAAAGAGCCTAGGGAAAAATAAATGTTTGCACTAGAATTTCTTGAACTGCCACGGTATTCATAATACTAGACTTTTGAGGGTACTCTCTAGTTCCCAGTCTCAGTTCCCTTTTTGAACTTTTAATACCTTCCTAGTATGTTTGTATTTGTTTATGAGCTCCAAAAACAGCCTCCAGTCTTAATGTCTGACAGCAGTTTGCATAGCCTAGCACGCATCCTACACAACCTTATTTCTATCTCTGCCTAGCTTGCACAAAACAACGGATGAGGCAAGTGGAGAAAGGAAATGCCAGGCAAGGAAATGGCCCAAAGTCAGTGAAATAGGAGCGAAATGTCATGTGGAATTAGCAGAAAGTAGGCCGACCTTATTAAAGTGTAAAGTTGTCTCTAGAAGCTATTAACTAGCTGTGTGACCCTGAATATTTCACTTGGATTCCTGGAACCTCAGTTTTCTTATGTATAAGATAGGGATATATTAATACTAACCTTACTGGGCTGTTTCCCAACGTGGTGACTTTCCCACAGTAGGCACCAATGAATTGTAGCTATTTGTACGAGTTTCCACCTGTAGTGTGACTCAGCTGTATAGTCTTTGAGCTCCTAGATTTTCTTGCTGTGTAGTCACTGTGAGCTGTGCATTTGAACTAAATGTATATGCTGGAGGCAGTGGGAGGAGAGACATACAGTGGTAAGTTATTCCACATGAGAGTTTGTAGAAGAGCCCAGTTGTTCCATGTCTTCATCCAACATCATGTATTGATGCATGCTGCCCTGAGAGATGATAATGCTCAGTAAACAGACCAGGTCTGTCCTGAGAAGAATGATCAAAATAGCAGTTTTTCTCCCGTTTCTTAAGTTCTCTTTTTCCTTTAGTTATTTAACATATTTATTGAACATTTATCATGTGTTGGATTTTGTGCTAACTATTGGCTTTACAGAAATGAATATGCCTTTTCCTGTGCACTTCCCCTACCATGCTCTCTGACTGTCCCAGTCCCTCTGTCAGTCTGGTAAACATCTGATAAAACTTAGTCAAATTAAGAACTCAAGCATATAATATTAAATGAAAAATTGCAGAAGTATGTGTGATTCCAGTTTGTGTACAAAAGGATATATGTGCATGTGTATGTGTGTATCAAAAAAAAATCTATGGAAAGATATATACAAGAAACTGCTAACAGTGATTACCTCTGGCAAGAGGAATTTGGCAAGCAGGGGCAATGGGAAGAAGATGAAAGGAATGTTTCATTTATAGCCCTCTGTTCTATTTGACGTTTTTACCATGTGCATGTATTACTTTTTAATGAATAAAATTGATATTAAAAATAAAACTCAAACATATTGAAGAATTATTTTTCTTCTTTTAAAACACAATGATTTAGAACAAAATATAGGATAGGGATTTATAAGCATGACATAAAAAACCAAAGGAAAAGAAGGAAAGATTTGATAACCTCAAAGTTAAAAACCTCTGTATGAAAAAATATACCCAGCTTGGCGTGGTGGCTCACACCTGTTATCTTAGCACTTTGGGAGGCCGAGACAAGAGGACTTCCTGAACTCAGGTGTTCAAGACCAGCCTGGGCAACTTGGCAAAGCCTCATCTCTAAAACAAATAAAAAAATTAGCCAAGCATAGTGATGTGCATCTGTAGTTCCAGCTACTTGGAAGGCTGAGGCAGAAGGATCGCCTGAGCCCAGCAGATTGAGGCTCCGGTGGCCGTGAGTGTGCCACTGCTCTCCAACCTGGGTGACAGAGTGAGACTCTGACTCAAAAAAAAAAAAAGGAAAAATACACCCTAAATAAAATTAAGACTAACTTAAAAGACTAGTGATAAACTGGAAATACATATGTGGCATATATGCGAAGGGGAACCCCAACAAACCAGAATTTATCTATAAAAATTGTGTATTCTTGCATGTTTAAACTTTAGTTACCTTCCAAGTTCTCTCCATTGTATGCAATACACCTATTGAGACACTGTTTCCACTGCTCTAAACAGTTTTTGTACTCATCAATTTTGATGCTTTTTAGTGCTTCTGTCGTTTTTTGTTTCACCTCTTCCACATATGCATTTCCTTTGAGGACCTTTTTCACCTGGGGAAACCAAAAAACAGTCACTCGGGGCAGATCAGGTGAACAGGGAGGATGGGGCATGGGGGCCATGCCATTGTTGTTCCAAAACTGCTGAACACTCAGTGTGGTGTGGGCAGATGTGTTGTCTTGGTGGAAGAACCAGTCACGTGTTTGCCACAACTCAGAACATTTCTTCCACAAATTGTGAAGCAACCTTCTCAAAACTTCCAGATAAAAACTTTGGTTGACCATTTGACTGAGTGTACTACAAGAGACTTGCCCTCCAAAAGACAATTCCAGGGTTTTTTGAGGGTGTCCCCTTGTATAAATCACAAAACTAATATCCATAATATAGAGAACAATAAATCACTATGAGAAATACAAAATTGGAGGGCTTCTACTTCTAGCAATGATGGAGTAACAGTCACTGGATGTTTTCTCCCCATCTTAACAACTCAAACTGAGCAAATGTATGAAACAACAATAAGTTTTAGACATTGGATAACAGGCAGAGTTGGGACAAACAAACAAGATGGTAGATTTAAGCAGGACTATATCAATAATATTAAAGTTAGTGGTCTCCAATGGAGTATTACACAGCCCACAAAGAACAAAATCATGAACTTTGTAGCAACCTGGAAGAACTTAGTTCTGATACTGAGTGATCTTTCACAGAAACAAAGAACTGAGTATCACATGTTCTCACTCATAAGTGGACCCTGAACAACTATCGTAATACTATAAGAAAAGGATTGACAGTAGCGGGAAACTGCGGGGGGGAGAGTGGTGTGGAGGCGCTGGCAGCTGGCATTGGTAGTAGTGGGAAACTGCCTGGGAAAGGGGGCACATGTCATCAACAAGAATACCTGCACAATGAATATTTGTATACCTAACCCTGAATTGTACCCCACAATTTTAAAATAAAAATTTAAAAAAAAGTTAGTAGTCTCACAGCGACACACTTAAAAGGCTGAGGTTGGTAGAATGGGAAAAAATTAGGACCCCAATTTATATGCTGTCTATAGGAAACACCTTAAGTATAAAAACACAAATAAGCCGGGCTTGGTGGCTCAGCCTGTAATCCCGCACCTTTGGGAGGCTGAGATGAGTGGATTGCCTGAGCTCATGGGTTCGAGACCCGCCTGGGCAGGCGAGACCTCATCTCTACAATAAATCAAAAAATTAGCTGGGCGTGGTAGCGCGCGCCTGTAAATCTAGCTACTCGGAAGGCTGAGGCGGAAGGATCGCCGGAGCCCAGCAGGTCGAGGCTGTGGTGGCCGGGAGCGGCCACTGCACTCCAGTCTGGGCGACAGAGTGAGACTCCAACTCAAAATAAAATAAAATAAAATAAGTTAAGCAATAAAAGATAAGATATACCATGTTAACATTATTTTAAAGAAGCTAGAATGACTTATTATTAGAGAAAGTAGGTTGCAAAACAGAAATAAAGAGGGCCATTTCATGATAAAGTGGTTAATTCATCATAAGAATATACAAATGTTAACTGTACATGTATCTAATAACAGAGATTCAAAATACATGAAGTTAAAAAAATGTCCAAACCTAAGGAGAAATAGAGAAATTCACAATTTTAGAGACTTCAACACCTCTCTCAATAATTGATAGACCAAGGAGACAGAAAATCAGTAATATAGAAGACTTAAACAACACAAATAATAAACTTGACTTAATTGACATTCATACAACACTCAACTGGACAACTGATTTTGACAAAGGTGGCATAGCAAATTTTACTGAGAAGGGATACTATTTCCCAGCAAATGATGCTGGAACAATTGGATGGCCATTTGCAAAAGAATGGCTGTCAACTCTTCATACTATTCACAAATAGTAACTCAAAATAGATTATAAACCAAAATATAAGAGCTAAAGTTATCAAATGTTGGGAAGAAAACACAGGAGAAAGTTTGAGTCACCTTGGTTTGGCAATATTTATTTAATAAAACGTGTACAATTATGAACTCAAGAAATCAATAAATTGGATTTCATCAAAATTTAAAGCCTTTGCTCTTCAAAGGGCACTGTTACAAATATTTGGGGGAAAAAAGCAAGCTGAAGACTAGGAGAAAATATTTGCAAAACCCATATCTGACAAGTTACTTGTATCTAGAATATATGAAGAACTTATATAAAGCTATAATTAAATGATAGAAAACCTAATTTTTGAAATGGCAAAGATTTGGACAGACACTTCACCAAAGAATATATACATTTTAAAATGAGCATATGAAAAGATGCTCAACGTCATTATTCTTTAGGGAAACGTAAACTAAAACTACAATGAGATACTACTACACACCCACTAGAAATACTAAAATTAAAAAGATTGACCATATTAAATATTTACAATATCGAATTCTCATATGCTGTTGGATAGGAATATAAAGTTGTACAT